CAAGACAGAATATCAGTGGACCTTGAGCATTTCTCATAATAATTCTTCTCATTTTGGGGGGGGGGGGGATATTGTTATATCCATTGCTTCAATCCAGTTGCTGAATGAATTTTATATATGCTTAAATGAATAATTTGTGTCTGCCTTTACATAATAAAGCTACAAAACTGCCACAGAGGATGTATGGAAAATACATCTACAGCAGCATGAACAAAAGTCACTCAAAATATAACCAGATAAACCAGATGCAGTCAAATACATTGAGAAGATGCTGATATATAGCTAATATTAAGTATTCTGTTCATGAATGTATTTTAAGATGAAATCACAAAATTACTTGAGAAATTCTAATAAGATATTTGTAACTAAGCCCCCCAATTTCAGTTGGACTTTTTCCAAAATAATAAAGAAAGGCTCAGGCTGTAGTAATTGCATTATTGGCAAACTTTAAGTTTGTTGCTCAGCAAAGCAATAATCAAGAATCTACCTTAGAGATAGTGCTAATTATCTCTGGAAAATACCTAGAATCTGGGTCCTCTCTCTTACCTACATGATCAGCATCGCTGACTGTTCTGAGCTTGGAACTTTGTCAAAATGGTCAGAACAGCATCAGACACGGTTCTAGTAAGATCAGAACAACCTGTTTCAAATTCAAAGCAAGGGGCCCAAGCTCCAAACATCTCAAATCCAAAATGTTTTATACCCTCTAGGCTTCATATCTAATATAGGAAAGGAAAACTGCATTTCAGGCGAACACTGTTTGCTTTCTTGCAATTCATGAGTATAAGTATACATACCATACTAAAATTCTTTTGATTTTCCCGGACTCGCTGTATTTCTGGTGTCTCTAGCACAGGCACATAGTATGGCATGGTTCTCTCTGCATCCTCCTTATACTTTTTCTGTTATTCAGGTTAAAAAAAGAAAAATGTACTATTGCAGTAACAAAACAAGCATTATAACTTTTTAAATAGAGAGAAAGAGACGTTTTTGTTGTCTAGATTTTGGAATCTACATGAATGTGTAATATGCAATCCCTCCCCTTCCCCCTCCCCCAATTTCTCCAGTAAGTACAAAGTTTAATTTCTTGTAGTTTTCTTCTACATTTAAAATTGCTCCAAAAAAAAAAAAAAAAGGAAAGTTTCCAACGAAAATGAAAAACAGAGCAAAATGTCCAACATTGTAAAATGCCCCCAAACTTATTCAAAGGATTTACAGGGCACCATCAAGTTCACACAGACAGGGACTACACCCATTTCTACTTCAGAAGGTCTCTGCATCTCATTATTTATCATGCTGGTTAAGGCTCATGAGAGTTGGAGTTCAGCTGCATCTGGAGGGCCATAATTGATCCATTTCTGTCGTATGTTATTGCCTTTTATTACAAATGAATGGATCATGCTTTGAAACAAAATAACATCTGGAAAAATATGTTTCCAAAGTCATCATTACCTTACTGGATAAGTTCTTCACATGATGTGCGTGGATGATTTCTGGGGTGTCAACAACTGTGGTATAATTGGCTTTTTCCATTTCTGCAGAGTGCTTGTATTTAATCTGTTGAGAGAACCATTACAGGGGAACACCCAGAATAAGTAATTTACAAAGCTTTTTCTTGATTTCACAGTAGGAAATCAAATGATTAATGTCTATTAATCACTGACCTCACTAGCAATGTCTGTGGCATTCTTTGCCCTCAGATAATTAGGTGTCTCCAATGCAAGGTCTGTTAAGCCCCTTCCTTTGATTTCCATCTCCAGGGCTTTCTTGTATTCTTTCTGTAAGTAAAGACAGATATAAAAATATAACATCTGAACAGACAGCTTTTTCCCAAATGAAATTCGCCCCAGTACTCCAAAGGTTATCTTTATGTGGCTCACATAGTAACCTTGTCATGCAAATGTGTGCTGGGAGGAAGATAAATATATTTTATGGAAGAAGCATTTAATCTTGCAATGTGATATAAAAGCTGAGTAGTCATGCTGTTTATGGATCCCGTTATAAGAGAATTTTCAGAAAAATGTGTTCAGGTATCACAGAATCTTCCCCATTTTAATCAGATTACAGAATCAGGCACAAATCAGATCAGATTACAAATCAAATAACATCAGATTGAGTAAAAATGAAAGTTATATGTGGGATTAGTGTTGGCACGCTTTCTTTGGAGCTTTTACAACATCTTCAATTTAGTAAAATATGCTATGTAATTATTTAGGTGATATAATATTTTAGTCTGGCTTCAGATTACATGTCAGCCAAAATAGCTAAGAATGTATACAGGAAAGAATTCAAGAATTCAAATAAAGAATCCCAAATACCATGTAGTATTGGGAAGATACCAAACACTGAATGTTTTATACAGGATATCTGCATTGACTGGTTAAAAATAACTGTAAGAAATACTAGAGAAATTAAAGAAAGATACTGTAGGCTAGTCAGGCTCTTGAATTCAGGGACAGATATCTGATTTATAAGGCAGGCTATACATTTGAAAAGGTAAATGTAATTACTGGCAGATCTTTTCCTTTCTGCTAAATGTTCCATTGTTATAACTCCCTATGAAAATAATTCAGTGTTTGCAGGATCGATTCAAAACCAGTGGTTAAATGTATTATCAACCACACTGATATTCTTTTTTTAAAAGCTAAAATAATTTTTTAAACACATAATGTGATTGCAGTGAAAATCATCTGGTTCCTATTTTAATATGACTGAGCTAAATCACAGATCCATGAATAATCTGTGAACAATTATCCTGTGATGCATCCATTAGGCAACATTTCATGCAAAAAAATGCACAAACTTGGGGAAATTGTGCACAGAGATTCATAGATTAGGAAAATGGGCTTCAAAATGTGTGCGAGAAAGTTATCTCCGTCATCCTGCTAGAATTTATATTCTGATCATTGTTTATTTGCTATGTTAATTGCTATGTTAATGGAGTGAGATGGGAAGTGGGAGCGGGAAAAAAAAGCTTCAGCTGAACCCTGGTAAAACAGAGTGGCTGTGGGTTGGGGGCTCCTCTGTATCCAGAAGTTTGGTTCTGGATGGGGTGGCACTGCCCCAGACAGACCCAGTGTGTAATCTGGGGGTCCTCCTAGACTCATGACTCCTGCTCAAGGAGCAAGTGGCAGCTGTGGCCAGGAAGGCCTTTGCTCAACTACATGTTGTGCGCCAGTTATGCCCTTTCCTGGATCGGGAGGCCCTCCAGTCAGTCACTCATGCCCTAGTCATCTCCCATATAGACTATTGTAATGCATTCTACGTGGGGCTTCCCTTGAAGAGTATCCGGAAGCTACAGCTGGTTCAAAATGCAGCTGCATGGGCAATTTTGGGTGCCCCAAAGATGGCACATGTTACACCTTTGCTGTGGAAGCTGCATTGGGTGCCAGTTTGCTTCCAGATCTAATTCAAGATGTTGGTGATCACCTTTAAAGCCCTACATGGCATGGGATCGGGTTACCTGAGAGACTATCTCACCCATATTATATCAACCCATCCCACCCGGTCAGGCAGAGAGGACCCCATCAACAAAAGAATGTCAACTGGCAGTGCCCAGAAGGAAAGCCTTCTCTGCCGTGGCCTCTGCCCTCTGGAATATTCTCCCCCCAGCGGTGAGGCAGGCCCCTACTCTCTCGACCTTCCGGACAGCAGTCAAGACCTGGCTCTGCCAACTTGCATGGGGCAAGAAAAGGGGCAACCAACCCTGGGGGTGGTTAGCACCTTGAAGATGCTCCTGTATGTTAATATCATTTCTACCAGTAGCACCTTGGAAGATATTATTATTTATGCATGAATATGGTTTTTATTGTATTTTATTGTATTTTAATTAATATTTATTTTTTGTTTTTACTGTAAACCACCCAGAGTCACTTCCTAGAGAGATAGGCAGACCAAAATTTGAAATACACATACATACATACAGTACATACATAAAATAAAATTTATTCAATGCTTAAATCACAGGTGATTATTAATAGTATGTCTTCTTTCCCCTTGGTTAAATCTCTATCAAGGTACACATCAAAATGCTTTCTTTCTCCTTTTCTCTTTAATTTTGCTTTGGAACTTCTGGCCAGCATAATCAGAAATTCTGAAATTATCAATGAAATTACAAGAGGAGGGGCAAAACAAAATATTTCATTACATATGGTGATTATATCCTAATCTTGTCTCATTAATTTATGAGTTTGTGATCCTGTCTGATTACTCTATAAACTGGAAAAAATCAGGCTAGAATAGATCAGACCCAGAGTGCAATTGGATCACAGTAACAATTTGGAAAGGCCTAAGGAATGGGGTTTTAGATTATATTCAATTCCTTTGTTTATCTTGGCATAAGAATTTCCAGGAATCTTTTTCAACTGGTAAATTTGAATTTATCTTTTGTTTTTATGCAGGTGAAAAAAGATCTAGAATTCCCTTGAATAGCTAGAATAAGATAAATACAATTAAGATGAATATATTGTCAACAGTGATTTGTATTTTGAGAGGCCTCCTGATATTTATTCCATCGCATTAGTTTTCAGAAATTTACAATATTAAGTACATTTATTTGGCAGGGATATCCTAAAAGATTTTCACTGCATGAATTATAACTTCCTGATAAGAATGTTTTATCACTGGGTTTATCACAGGTTTATCACTGGGGATTTAGCCTTGCTTTGATTACTGTGTGAAATAAGAATGTTCAAAATTTAGCTTCTCTTTAGCCTCAACTTAAACATCAATATTTGACTCTATTGAAATGCTGCCAAGTATTGGAATTCCTGTTTTTGCAGGAATCAGTTTCAATATTTACACTTAATACTACAAGATACTGTATATAAGGAAGATACTGGATTGCAGGTATAACCAACCTGTTTACTCTTGAAAAGGTTACAATATGAGATAATTCTACTTTAAAAATAGCATATAAACTGGAGGGGTGGTAAGCTGGGCCTCTCATAACATTATCTGGATTAATTCAGTTCTGAGAAAGCTTTTTTAAAAACTGTGCCAAATTAAATATGTTTCAGTTACCTTAGAGTATTCCTTGGCAGTACAATCAACTTAAACACTTGCTATTTAGCACTTGTTATTTAGTGTACTTGTTCTAGAAACATTTGCTGCTTCTGAAGCTCTAGTGGTTAGACACTCTGAAGGAATTGGTTCCTCGTCCTTCTTTATAGAAAACTGATAAAAATTAATACTCATTATTTATGTCACCCCCGACATAACAAGCTTGAATGTCCCATTCTGGTAAATCAATTGAATATCTTTTTAAATAATATGGAATTAATTTCCTATAATATTAAAATGAAGTTAGTGTAACAGAAAAAAAGGTTTTCTGTATACAAGGCACTTCAAATAATGTTTACTAAGGGTTGGTAACAATCCCCCTGATGCAGAAAGATAAAGCTTGGCAGTTGTATGGTTTTATCTTGACCTACTATTGGTACATTTGGGGCTGACATCAACATGACTGCTAATAGAGCTGTGGATCAGTTGCTGTATCTGTATATTGCAGATTAATATGTTCTTCTTGGCTATATCCCCAGCATTTGGAATCTATCATGCTATCAAGAATTGTAGATTTTTCAGGTTAGCTAAAATAATAATTATACAACAAAATTATTATACAAGGAGAAATCGACATCTGACCTGCAGCAATGGACTGCTGATATGTGTTATTTGTCAACATCTGAATTTGTCTTTTTTGACAAGAGAAGGGGCAAGACCTTCAAGAAATATGGTCTGATTTTTGGAGTTCTTTTGTTTAGAACATAATTTCCTTCCTTCCTTTCCTTATCAGTTTGTGATTGTGTTGATCCTTAATGCTATTATATGCATTTGTACATTTTTATTAGTTTACATAATTAAAATTTTTTAAAAAAAATACTAAGAAAGTGAAATTGAAAGATGTACTTCCTTTGTCTGAACATGAGCTGAACACAAGACCATGAAATGGACAGACCAATACTAAGCATTCTAACGTTCCATAAAAATCTGCCTTCCAGGAAGTTCTTAAACTCTATTCCACCCAGTGATATGCCTCACCTCATTCAATATATAAGTTGCATTCTTTGCTCTAAGTAAGTCTGGTGTCTCTTCCAGAATGGTTAGACCTTTACCTCTGACACCTTCTTCTAAATCTCTCCTGTATTCTTTCTAGAGGGTAGGAGAGAAGAAAATGAATCAAAAGAGAGAAGTAGGTAGGAGACAGAGGGAGATCTATGAGGGGAAAAAAAATAAAGAATAAAAGAAAGTCAGGAAATAATTCCTAGATTAAATAGTTATGTTGTTTTTGCCTTCCAAACACACATACATTGATACAATAACCCTACTTAAAAATTCACACATAATGGGACAATTTTCATTGGTTCCACCAATACAACAAAGAGTATTAAAAAAAAAAAAAACCTAGCCACCTTCATTAGTTAAATCATGCTTAAAATTAAAGTTAAAATTTATATAAAATTAAAATTAACTTTTAAACTTAAAATTGAAGTTTAAGCATGGCAAAGACAGCAGTGAAGTGTCTGCTTTGAGGAAGATAATTGGGTTTTCCATTGCAGAAGACAGAAGAGTAGATGGTACCTCGCTTGCTATTCTGGTGGCATATTTCACATGCAGTAAAGATGGTGTAATCTCCAAACCAGTAAGATTCCGGCCTTTAATTTGCTCTTCAAAATCTTTCTTATATTCTTTCTAATAGGAGTTGAAGGAAAAGAGAGAAGGAAGAAGGGAAGAAGGTAGGGGAAAATATAATTAATTTTGGAATTGTAAAAATAATTTCAGGTCATTTTACAATGACATGATGATTAGGTACTTATGGATCCAATTTTGCCCTTGTGCCATTTGGGAGAGGTTTAATGCTTTAAAGTGTCCTAATATATTATAAATGAGCATTTTATGTACTTGCAAGCAATAACAGATTTGGACAAAATATCTACAGTATATTATTTGGGGAGCAGGTTGTACAAAAAGAGCAGAATGGTCATGGCCTTAGCTACTCAATGTCTCAGCAATACCTCAACCCAATGCCAACAAAATGTGTTGGATGACACCTCCAGTGATTCCCACTCAGCATGCCTGGGATGATGGTAGTTCTCATCCAATATGCTAGAAAACACTAGAAAATACAAGATAAAGAAATCTGCTCCAACTAGCATGCTTGGTCTGAGGAAGTAAAGAAAACCGTGAATAACTCCATAGGATATGCATCTGAATATTACATTTCCTTTTAATTAAAACAACTGACAGAATCAAGCATTACACTCAAGTTTCACCTTGCATAAATTTCATATTGGAATGAACTTATTCTGATAAGTTCATTCATATTTTGAAATACATGTGGGAGTGAAAGGGATGAAACTGAATATAGGCAAGAATATTCAGGGTAAAAGCACAGCAGAGGCACAACTGATTCTCAAAACAAAACAATGGGAAGATAAATCATATATATGTAGTTTGAGGATGGGAAATGGGCAGAGGGGCTGGATTTTTTTTAGCACCCATAAAACAAGTTGTGATGATCCTTTAATCAGTGAGCAGAAAGATATGATCATTCCTGTTTGAAAGATATCATCGAAATACATTTCTGAGTCCAAGTGACTAGAAACAGTACAACCACAATTCAGTGTCTTGCTTATGTTTTCTAATATCTGATTAGTAACCTCATACCTCGCTCTGCATATGTTGGGCTTCCTTGGCAGTGATATATGTTGGTGTTTCAAAGTCTAACATGGGCTTTCCTCTTTCCTTTTCATATTTTTCCTTGTACTTCACCTGTCAAGTGGGAGGCATGTGTTATCCCAGCAGTTGCAGATTAAAAAGACACATACAGAATGGGGTCACATCATTCACTCAACCCTAACCCCTGATTAACAAAATACAATTGCTGTGGTCATATAACATGCTATGCCAAAATAAATGTATTCTTTTTTATTGATGAATGTATTAACCACATCAATCAAGGTGACTCTAAGCAGTGAAGAAAAGCAAGCCACATCCAATAGAATTGCACATAAATGTTTGGGCACCCCCGGTCAAACTGAGTATTTCAATGAAACCGTTTCAATGAATCTGTTAGTGAATAATGCTGTATTGTTCAAAGTCAAACACAACTTTCTGTGAAGTTGAAGGGATGTGTGGTTGTTTACAGATTCAAAATAGGAAAATAATGACTGTCCCAGGTGAAAAGGTTTGGACACTCTTTCAGTCAGAACTTTGTAACATCTTTAGCAGATAAACAGCTTTCAAATGTGTCCTGCCACCAGCCAAGAAGTCTTTGTATTTTTGCTTTTCCCTACTCTTCTTTGCAGAAGTATTATAGCTCAGAAATATTCTTAGGTCTCCTTTCATGCACTGCATGTTTGAAATCTCTCCACAGATTTTCAATAATATTCAAGTTTGGGATCTGTGAAGAACATTCCAAACCCTTTATCTTTCTTTCTGTAAACAGTTCGTTGTTGATTTTCAAGTATGTTTTGTTGTCTTGCTAAACTATCCAACCTCCTTTCAGTTTCAGTTTAATTACTGACTGTGGGACATTAGTTTTTATGATATTCAGTTGAATCCACTATTCCTTCACCTGCGTAATGTTTCCTATGCTACTAGTGCCACCCAACTCCAAAGCATAATAGATACCTTCAACTTTTGTGACCCAGTGGGTACATTTTAAATTTTGATATCACTTCATGGATATTCTTACAAAGTAGCCCCTATGGGAAACATGGACAGTTACAAAATACCTCCTACAGCTGTCCTCTAGATACTGTCTACCACACAGCTTACTTCTGGCATTCTCCTAGGCAAGTAGTCACACTTCCAGACAAAGTTCTTGTCTGCAGCCCTTCACTATTGGTATTTTCTAAAAATATATTTTGGGTGTGTAAGTGATCCAGAAGCATCTTGGAAATAAACCTAATGCTTGAGGCTATGGTTTGCTTTATACCATGGGACACCTAAAATAATCTAATAAAATCAGGTGGACATGGAAGTGTTACTAGGCACTTCAGTTTCCCATGTTAGAAACTCAGATTCTGCAATACCTGGCTGGATACACATGCATTATTAAGCCATGATTATTTAGATTTCTGGCTTATCAAGAATAAGGAAGCATTCTAGTGCCCAGAACAAAACTTGGGTGATAACTCCAGCTTGTTATGAGAGGACAATTCCAGGAAAGTCAGTTTAAACTAAATCATGGGTAGGGCTTCCAGGATGGTTTACCTATTCCCTCTGACAGGAAGAGCCAAGTATACAAAGTGAGCAATCTGCACCTGCATGCTTAATATGCCAAGAGTCTATAAAATTCTGACATACCCTTGGATGAGAATACAGATATACTGCCAAGTAGCGATTGTATTATGAATATGATATAAGTAGTGTGAAACGCTTAACCGACTTACTATGCTCTGAAGTTCTGAGGCCTCCTTTAGATGGATCTGTTCAAGGTTATCTGGAACCACGTGGTAGTGACCTTTACTTTTCTCATATTTCTTCTTGTACTGGTACTAAAGGGAAGGTGTCAAAAACCACCTCAATAGTTAAAAAGTATCCTAACCAGATCAAGCTTTTTAGATCACCTTATACAAACCTATCAGCAGTCAAATAAGAAATCAGAGATGCGGTTAAAAACAAATGTATAAAAGAGAAGAAGAAAGAAAAGTATGAGGCAGAAAGGGACAAATATTATAAAACAAGAACAAAAAGATGAATGAAGAAGAAAGGACCAAAGAAATGTGATGCAGTGAATATGTGATGCAGTTAAAATGGAACAATACCCCTTGGTTTTCTCTTAAGAATATAAAATGGGATTAGCTGATACAAGCCAAGGGCCATTTAGTTCAGCATTTTGGGTCACAAAATGGCTGACCAGATGCATCAACAAAGTCCACAAGCAGAATTTATTATAGCAAGAAGATAAAATGTCAGAAAAAAGCAGATTAAGTCTGAAGCGGTTTTAAAAGTTAAAGAATTATTGTTTCAAAATAGTAGTTGTGAGTTGAAAAAAAATAAAAAGTTAAGGAAATAATACTTATTTAGTAAAAATATGAGTTACAAAGGTAAAAAATGCTATTAAAATTTGGTTAGATGTTTAAAATATTAGCGGGTCTATTTTAAAAGTAATAGAAAATGTTCTGAAGATTTGAGGTATTAATGTTGCTAGTCAACATGGGAGATAGTCATCAGGCAGGAGAGAAGAGATCACTACCAGGTGATTTCCTAGAAACAGTCAAGGAGGAGGAAAGACATTGCAGAAAGAAGTTGCAGAAGTTGTTAGCAGATATTATCTTAGAAAGGCAGATAGATGGAAATGTTAATCTGAATGTATCTCAGTTTAGCTAACAGGCTTACAGTGCTGGCAAGGTGGCTCGTGTTCAAAACATGATGCATCGCAAGAGATTCAGACATGTCAGTCACTGGCTTATGAAGTTTCTTCAGATCTGCCTTATATTTAACCTATTAATAAAACAAAGGAAAAAGTCAGCAGCCTTGTCACAGGAACATGTAAAGAATGCTTATAAATGGAATACATTCAGGTGGCCATCCTATAGCTTGTGCTGGCATGGAACGGGCTACTGCCAATCTTGAATTCACCAGTGGCCCAAAGCTCCATCTCTAGGGCAGCCCATGCCTTTGGAAGTGCTCCTGGAACCCTCCAAAATGCCACCATATTTTTACTGCTGTTTCATTCACATGGAAGAATACTGGCACATTGGGGTTGCTAGAGAAGCTTTCAGGTTCAAAGCTTTTTGATTCCAAAAGGGAGATTAACCCCATTAACTGCAATAAGGATCATTCCCTTCAGCCTCAAGGGTAAAATATGTTAAAAAAGGGTAAAATATGTTAAAAAAGAAGAAGAATGGGGGAGGGGAAGAGCCCTACTTACTCCATTTTATAGGCTGAAGAAAGTAACTATAATTGTCCCAAGAAGGCTAGTAGAAGGTAAGAATGGGAAGAGGCTAAGTGTGAAAAGAAGCTGGGCATGAAAGTAATTCAATAGTATCATTTCAGAAAACAGACTTCAGGTTTAAAGGAAATGGAGAGGATCAGGGAGAGAGTAAGTGGCAGAAAATGCTTTTTTGGATGCTGACTCTTATTAGAGCTCTGATGTGGAGTAACAGATGTTATTGGTGGAGTGTTTAACCTGTTTGCTTTCGCCTGTGCTCATTCTCTTTTTTTCCCTGCAAATACTACAAGATTCTAGCAAACCTTTCCCAAAGGAACCTGAACCCTGAAACTCCTCACCATTCAGAGAAAAGCGAATGAACCAGACATACCTCACTTGCAATGTGGTGAGCATCTTTTAAGGTCTTGTAGATCTTGCTCTCCTTCAGGTCGTATTGAGGTCTCTTTCCCTTTTCTTTATCGAACCTTTCTTTGTACTTCACCTGATGCCAAGAAAACATATTTTTAAAAAAGGATCCTGAATTTTAGCTTTTCTGACGCCAAGAAGGGAGAAGAGAAAACACCTATCCACAATCAGGTTATCAAAAGGAATCTGATTGCAAACAAGCAGAAAAAGATGCATCACATAGGAGCTACTTCAAAACAGAAGAGACCATTGGGAAGGTCAAGATTTTTCAGTAATGATATAGATACATGCTACGTTTCACAGGATGACATTGCTTCTTTCATTCAGTGGTTTGTTTCAGCTCCAGATATCAAAATATATAAAATTTATCCATTGCAAAAAAAAATGTACGAGACCCTTGAGAAAGCGAGATGAAGCACAACTCCCTAGAGACACAAAGGCTTCATTATGGATTGCTTCCGGAAGTCTCCCCCAATCTCCAGTTGAGTGGCACTATATTCCGTATGTCTCATCGTTCCCAGTCCCGGGAATGAAGGGAGCTGCCATCTGGCATATATTCAGGGCCCCAGGATGGGAAAGGTGGAATTATACAATTCAGTTACTCTACCACCACATCCCACAAAGGCATGATAAAGGGCAATAAACATATTGATGTAACAGCTAGACTTTTAAAAAGTTTGTTTCCTGGTTTTACTCTGAGAGTATCAGAGCAGCATTTTACACGATTACAGTATATTTGTGATCATTAACATAAGAAAATGACTTGCCTAAGATTTCCCTCACGGAAGCCCACTATTTACCATCTACACTACTAATCACAAAGGAAGTTTGGACTTGGTATGGTTGGTGCCCAAGTTATTGGTTTTAAGAGAAGTGATAGCATTTTAAAAGCGTTTTTAAAAAATAAGTGAGAATAAAAGTTCTGCTGGATGCTTTTTCTTAATTTAAATCAATCTATCTGAACCCACTGATGGATAATCTGCTTCTAGTCACGTAAACAGATTCACCCAGGTTGTTCTCATCCCAATTTAATAACTATTCTCAACCCAGCTTTTTTTTTAGTGAAAATTGGTTTGTATATTAATAACTTTCTAGGTAAACAAAGTTCTTTTCTTAAACATTTTAGTAACATTGTCATTAAGCAACTTCATAAAAGAGAGGAAATGTATTAGCTGTTTAGTAGATAAAGAAATAACAAATTAAAAAAGTAATGGCATTGTCCGGCCACAACTAAGGGCATTTTCAGTTTATTTAGATTGTAATTAGAGTTTATTTAATTCAGACCCACTGCAATAAACATAAAGTAAATGGACAATACTCTTGAAGGGGTGGGGGTCACTCGCCTGCAAGAGCTGATTGATATAACTGATGAAAGGAATTGATCATGCTAGAAAACAACACACATGACTATAAAGAAGTAAATTTAGTTTATCATCAGAAAAACGGAAGATGCCAATAGTGCACTCTGAACTCACATTCCATGATTTTAGATCTCTAAAACATGTGGATATGTTCTTATCCACACAATTCTGTATCCATCATGCTGGATAGTTTCAGTTTTTAAACCAGACTGACAAAAAAAATAAAAAATGCTGGTGACGTTCAGTTAATATCCTTCTGGTTAGATTTCCTTTAGAAACTTATACAGACCCACACGGGAACTGATGCATTTGAGAGGGACAGTGACATACTCACAATGACAGATCTGACACATGACTAGGGAAAACATTTGGCTACATCCAAAGTTATGTGAGTGGACTGGATTTCCCCTTACTATTCTTCCCCCACTCAAATAGATTCTGTTTTCTATTCTATGGCAAATGGTCAACACTGGATACAGCCAATTAACAACAACAGCAAAGCATAAGAAATGACATGCAGAGTAACCACGACAGTGACAGAACTGGTGACATGATAGATAGTATAGATGACAAATAATCCTTTAAAAGATTATTTGTTGTTGAAATTCTGCACAGCTAGAAGTATAGAAATGTCCACACAAAACAGACGATGCATCATATGAATATCTGTTCTGAAAAGAGTATTGTTTTTTGTTTCAAGAAAAGATTTTTAGTCCTATTAATGTTTCCAAGAGTCAAAAGTTCCCGATTCTTCACTAAAAGATTGAATAGAACAGCTTAATAACTGGAAGAATTTATTATTACAACAGACAAGATGGCTTACCAACTTTCAGTACAAAGAACTGATTTTTCTCACAAGCACAGAAGGATGTTTGTGGTTGCATGCAACATAAACAAAGACAAATGAGAAAGTAAACATCTCCCTTTTTTCCTTATGTCCAAAAGTCCTCTCCAATCTATGTCCTTCCCAGGGTTTGGGCCCACAGTCCCCATCATCCCTCACCACTGGCCATGCTGGCTGGGGCTGACAGCACTTGCAAGCCACCCCAATGGAAGGAGCCCATTTGGAGAAGGCTGATAACATTTCTTTCTAAAATATTTAAGAGAGAGTGGGGAAAACAGACAAGAAACGCTTGGCCACAAGCAGCAGCAATTAGAAGCTAGCCAAGATCTAGTTCTGGTTTAATACTCCAGAAGCCTTTCTTCAAAACTCAAGAGTTTTGTATAGGCTGATTCAAGACATTAAGGTTCACTGAGAACTTCCCTGAAACTTCTTAGTGAGAAGATCACCACTGGGAACACTTGCTCCCCGTCTCTGCTCTGCCTCCGTAGTGCATGACCCCTGGGAATCATTGCACGAGTTCCACTGTATGTTTTTAGTTAATGCATGACAGCATTCACCAGACCTGGCTTGCATTCTAAATGCACTAACTGTGCCATTCTCAAATGATTAGATTTGAACAAATAATTTATCTCCATTTCAACTTTTGAGCCTCAGGAGCAATTTTACATAAGAAAGAATAGGGAGATTTTGATTAACATTCATGAGGTTTTGATTTTTTTTTTTTTTAAGTACATCCCGTTGGCAATTCAGGCTCAATTTTATGTGCCAAGAACATTTAGCAAGACTCATAAAATGGAAAGCTGGAAAGGACAGGCACTTTAAATCCTTCTTACATGACTACTTAGGATATTAGCTTTTTTAAAATGCCTCATCATGGGTGTATCATACGATGCTGCCCCATGGCCCCTCAAGTATCCTTTGATGTATTTGACCTATGAAGCATAGCAAGATAGCAAGATTAGAATGGCCAACCTCCAGTGACATAAAGCACAGAGCTAAGACAGAAAGGCAGGCAGCATTCATTTCTTCTTTTGACGGAGATGTCTCATGGGAACAGCGTGATTTCGAAGCTCACCGACTGCACTTGTTCAAAGTTTGGTGGAGACAAACAGGTTGGGATTAACTACTGAAAGCACTAAAATATAAGGCACCAAATTATTGAAAATGCATCTTTTATACAAGCAGTAAAGTACATTTTCAGCAGTAATCTGCAAAGCAGAAATATCCAAGCATTATATTCAAAAATCTTTGATAAGATAATAACTACGTATGTTTCCAGACAAATATCTGGTCAGAAACCCCAAATACATGGGGAACATCAACAAGACAATTGCCTTAAAATAGTTATTACAGAAGAAAAAATGTGGAGCTGGGAGCAATGTCTTTAAAGTCGTATAGTCCTGTGCTGATAATATATGGCATACCAAAATTACTTGACAGAAAGTTGCAGAGGTGGAGGGAGGTTTCCACAAATAATTACCTCTGAATGGTGTGTGTGTGTGTGTGTGTGTGTCTTATATTCACTGAGAATAGAAAATACAGTTGAAAACAAATGAACAAGAAAAAATGCCGATAGTTGCAGACATCTCCTGCTAAATAGCTTAGATGCCTTGGAAGGTGAGCTGTTTTTTTCAAGGAGCTGCTTCCTGGTGAATTTAATCCTTTTCTAATATCTAAACCATTTCCAATTTATCTTGCTTCATTTCCATCCAGTTTGGGTTTTCCTCCTTTTCCTTCCCAGTACACTTATTGCTTCTCCCTACTCCATCTGCATCTCAATTTTTTCCTCCTTCTTGTCATTTCTGCTAGTATAAGAGAGCAGAAGGTATTTGTGTGTGCCTGTCTATATATGTCTATACACACACAAATCATTAATATATGCAAATGGGAAATCTATTTTATAAATCAGTACTTACCTTACTAGCTATTCATTCAAATTAGGTGATATTCAAGTTTTTTTGTCTGTACTCTGCCTGTTTTAGATTATGGCTTCTAGCAGATGTATACATGTATACGTATATACAGATATATACATATACATACATATACATAAACATATTTGCACACACACACATTTGATAATATGGGAATTTGTCATTTTTTTTGTTTGTATTTATATTTTTTTTTTCTATTTCTGGAGAGTCATCTCAAATTCAGGAGTGACTTCCTTTGGGGTAACTATGGTACATTCTGGAATTACAGACATATGAAAACCATAGAAACAGCTGTGTAAAGGGCAACAATATTTTATCAGTAAAAATAACCTCCTACTCCCTTATACAGAATGTCCTCCTCTTCAAATTAGCTTTATGTGCAAACGTGAAGTTGGAAACCCAGTGTTTGTTCCATGTTTTGCTTAATAAGTTCTAATACAGTGAACCTAATTTTTAAAAATCTAATAAAATTTACCTGCAACATTTTGAAAAATATTTTAAAAATGTACTGCAAATTTAAAAGGTGATATCTACCTAAAATTAATGCTCAAGTAGCTTTACTTTTTATCATTAAGTACACATTCAGCTAAATAGGAATAATTCATTTTAAACAATTCATTTTAAAGGCAAAATAATCACTGAGCTATTCAAGCCTTCTGAAACTAGGATCCAGATTTCTTCTGTATATGCAATGTTACTCTTTGGGAGCCCAGACTAAGCCCCCATCAATGCCTGAGGGAGGCCCATACATGCCCAGGATGTCTACAACACAGACCTGGCCTTTTGATGTATGAAAAGCTGAGTTCACACACTGTACACAGTGACAGGATTCTTTAGACCATCAAAATCCTAGAATGATTTCCAGGTCTATCGATCACATTACTTTAGATGTCAACATTACTTCCAAGGGATTGCGGGAATCCTGTGTCACATCCTCCTGTTGTTGTAAACTATTTGTTTTGCTTGTACATACCTGGCTAGTAAGTTTGGACACTTCTTTGGCAAGTTCAATATCTGGACGTCCAAGCATGGTGACTCCTACTCCAGCTTCTCCACGACCTTTGGCTTTGTACTCAATCTAAGATCAATACAGACATTTGAAAAACCAACCGATTTGGAGTTCTACATGCAAAAGTGAAAGCAATATGGCTTATATGTGTGCTACACAAGCAACAAGTTACTGAACAGTTACACTGATTTGCACTCACATCACTGACTAAATGGGAGACTTGGGTGGCTTTCATAATGTCTGGTCGATCTGCCACAGTTGTATAATGGAGCTGTGATTTGGCATCCTTTTTGTATTCGATCTACAGTACATGAAAAGGAGATGCAGATAAATGATTAACATAATATTTTTAACTAGAAAAGATGAGACAATGGAAGTATGAAAATCAGCTAATATTTTGCCATTCAGTTTGCTGTAGGCAGGATAAATCAGCATTTATAAATGCTTAGCAGAAGGAAGAATGGGGAAATGGAGAGGGGAGATGTGAACGCAGTCATCTCTGGTAGAGGTTACATGCATGGAGCCCCTAACCCCTGAGCCAAATCAATAAGGATGGAGGCCTTGCTAGACATGATGACATCTGCTTTGTTTTCTCTCACAGCCATTCACTTCCATCAAAGAAGGAAAAATGATGCCATAGGAAAAGTCAGTGGAGAGGGGCAATTCTCTTGTCGCCCCCATACACACACATTTCAGCAGCCTTCACAATTGCAGTCCCTTTCTCACATATGGAAACTATCAATTTGTTTTTGATTGGATGAGCACTTAATGCCTCCCCTCTGACAGTGTTGAACTTAACCTCCCAGAATGTTTAGAAAGCAGAGCTAATAGTAGAATACTGTGAAATATAGCTCTGGACCAGTATGATGTAATGCACAGTATTTAGGAAGGCTTCTAGGGTAGGATAAGGCCAGAAGAATAGCTAACTTTTATACATAAACCAAGATTTTCATCTGCAAAATATGATTTTATGCATGCATGCATTTACGCTTTAAAGTGGAATTAAAGTGACATGCAAAGAAAACTGAAAGAAGTTTTTTTTTTCCTTTACATATATCATGCTTGAAATTATTAGGGCAGCATATATTTTAAAAGCCATACTGTCCTTGTCTAAATCTTTCTGGTGCCTGTTCATAATGTTGAAATATTTTCCATTTGATCATATGGGGCATTAAACACTCTTGAATTAAATAAATCTTTCTAGGAAGATAGTAATCAAAATAGTAATCAAGATAGCTATCAAAACCTTATCAATTATATGTAGAAATGAAACCAAATTAAAATTTAACCCCCCCCAAAGCTGAACACAATTTGACTATGAGCAGTAAGTAAATACAGTCATTTTCTATCAGTTAGCATAATAATTATTATTACAATTATTATAGAAGTTAAGTGTAGTGATAGTAATAATAATAACTACTGTTTCTCCTTGGGTCACCTTTCATTTTACCATCCTAGCAGCCACCTTGTAAAGTAGGTTTGCTTGCAAGGGAGGCTGACAGTCTCAAACTCATTGTATGAGTTCCTGATTAAATCACGATACCTTAATTCTGAATACTAACAATACATTGAAATGCTTCCCTGGTCCACATCCAGTAATGTAACAGTTATGCCAGGCTGGCTTTCCCATTGATCATATATCATTTTTTATTGAAGAAAGTACAGAAATAACTTACAATACTCTGTTTTTTTGCCACTTCCATGGCATGCTTCACATCAGGAGGTTCCAGCATGATTGAGTAATCCGACTTGCCTTTTTCTTTTTGAAAATTCTTTTTATAATTTGTCTGTTTGGGATAGAAAGTTATACCAGTTATTCTCCAGTGAAGATCTGCTGATGTTTAAAATAGGAAAGACAGATAAAAACACTACTATCAGAGAAAAAGGGATATGTGAGTTTGAGTGTGAGTTTGTGTATATGTATGTGTGTCTCTGTATGTAGGATAACAAGTTTCATCTCTTTAGTTCTGCTGTAATTTTCCTTTATATTTTCAACCTCTTTGCATTATTTATTCGATTCAAAGGACAGCCATGTTACTGAATTGGCTGATAATAATAATAATAATCAGGTCAATATCCATCAATCATACATGTAACACCACTTCTGTCCTTAATTCCAAGTCACACTGTGATTTGATTAAGTCTGTCCCGACCCTCATTTCTATCATCCTTCTCATTGTTGAAGGCACTTAAAATTCTTATTGTGTTCATAATCAAGTTTTTAAATCATGAAAGTTCAAATGAGGAAGAACACTTTCCAGATTTTTCAACAACTGGAACTACACATCCCACAACATGTTAAGCCTTTGTAAATTCTGAATATATAAACAGTTAAAAGGACAACAGAACTGATGATAAAGAGGACCACTTCAGAAAACAGTACGTTATAATTTACAGTGGAGAAACTACAGTTTCAGTCACAAACACAGCAAAGGTGAAAGGCTATCTGCAACATGAATAAAATGATGCAAAAGTAGCCTACCTCACTAACATTCTTGGTGACTTTTTTGACATGAACAGTATCCCTTGTTTCTGGCAATTTTGTGAAAGAACCATGGGGTAGGAGTTTCTTCACATGCTCTTTGTATTTGTTCTGTTTATGAAAGACAAACAAAATATTTCAGAAATTACTTATCTTTAGAAAGAAGATACTCTGAAACCAGATAATAATAAAAAATAAAAAAGTCAATTACCTCAGACACAAGAGAGCTAACCATCTTGGCAAGAAGGATCTGGGGAGTGTCTGGAACAGGAAGGATGCTTCCTCGTTCCTTGTTGTGCTTCTCTTTATATTTTAACTGAGAAGTTTAAAAAAAAGGGAAAAATGTTTTCAAGCAACAATCATCAACAGGGTTCTACAAATGAGACTGCCAACAGTGAGTGCATTGTTTTCTTCTCTTAGCTATTAAAGAACCAAGATAGTCAAACCTTATACTGAAGCTTAGGAAACTATAAGATGTTTCTGAAGTCAAAATGTAACTTTGGAGATTTCTTGCCTTAATATACCTTAGGAAAATGATGAGATATGTCACTAATCTTACAAAAGCTTTGTTTCAACATGATGGGGACTTTCATTTAAACTAGGGTTCCTCAAAGTGGTCAATATCAGCCCCCAAGGATCAAAGGGACTATCCAAGGGATTAATAAATGGCTGAGGGTCAAAAGGGAGTCAGTAAATGGCTAGAGGTCAATAGGTTGTCAGTAAATGATGGAAGGTCAATTGGGGTCAATTAATCATTTGGGTTCTCTGTAGAGTTCCACACCACTCCTGAAGGTGAGGTGGCTAGCGGCGAGACAGTGTTACCCAAGGTTGGATGGTCAGCTGCCAGGAAGAGAGGCCTTGAGTTGTCTCTATTATTATTATTATTATTATTATTATTATTATTATTATTATTACTACTACTATTATTAATAGTACAATTAAAGTAGTATTTATTAAATAATTTTCATATAACAAATGTTTGGGGGTTGATGAACAATCTGAAACTTCATGAAGGGGTCAATGAGCTGAAGAGTTTGGGGACTCCTGACCTAGACTGAAGTCGGGAAACTGACTGGCTTGCTCACTGAAGTTGAACTCAATCTTGGCAGTACTTGGAACTTACTAAGAGTGTAGCATCATGATGATGGAGGGAAAAGGGAAGCACAAATTAGAATTGATTACCCCCTCTAAGTCATGGCAGATGCTTGTTTCCATTTTTATAGTTACTACTAAGACATGAACTTTTCTTATATGGTGCTTAAAACAACTTTTCTTCCAACTGGATTGGAATGTGAGATCATGCCTACTTTGTAAATGATGCAAACCCATTTGATTAAATTTATATTTCGGTTCTATTTAATGAGAACTGGCAAAAGTGATCAGAAAAAAGTTTCCACCGGAAATATTTTAAAGTACTCACATCACTTGCCAAGATTGCATTCTGCAGTGCCAACACTGTGTTTTTGTCATCTGTTACAGACAACTTGCATCCTCTGAGATATTCTCGGTCAAGCTTATATTCATACTGCGAAGAAAGAAGGGGCAACAGCAACAACAACAAAATGAAAACTGTCTAGTTTGCTCCAAACAACAACAAACTGTCTTACTCCATCAGGAAAAAAAGTGAGTTTTCTTTCTCATTTGCTTACATCACTCTGTTGCAAGGATGTTTTAGCAGCTTGGATAAAGTCAGGTCTTTCCGTGGTCCAGTGCCAGTGAGCTTTGGTTGCTTCATATTTCTTCTTGTAATCCAGCTATTTAATAAGAAATAGAAACATATAATCAAATTGTTCTTGCAAGACAGGCACTTCTTTAGAATTTTAAAAGGTGGTTGTAGTTTGCTAAACAATGAATCCTTCAACCAATCAACAGACATGGCACTCTTCCCTAATGAGGTTGGGAGAGATGTAAACTCCACAGAAGAGTGACATATCTACATCATGGTGTAATTGGACAAATCAACCATCTAGGTCTAAAAGTCATCAAATTTGGCACCATACAGATTTAATGAAAGCACATCATATGAAGTCCTGTCTTTCTCCCAGGCTGGCTAGCTGTTTCCATCTTCCTGCTTTTACGCGTCCACTCAGAAAATGAGATGGACTAGGAAAGAGAGTGAGAGAGAAAACTGAATCTGAAGTATGTTTGTGGGGGGCGGGGAGTGCTCCCTTAGAGCATCTAGCCCAGGGCCTCCTTAAACCTGAGGGTGTCACTGGTCCACTGAGAAGCCATGTATAGTGGGTTGCCAGGGACTCAGAATAACTTGTTGGCTGTTTGAGATCTCAAAAAAAAACTATAATATTTGACAAGCAGTCTGCTTTTGCAATGATTCAAGTGATGTGCAAGGCTGCAGAGAAACAGAGGGAGAGACCTAGGCAAAATACAAAATGCCTCTGTTTCAATTTCAAAGTACCTCCTCTGTCAATTTCTCACCTCCATTTCTCCTCTCAGCAAGGACTCTTTCAATTCCCACATAGCAACAAAAGTTAAACCATTTTTATAATGTTACAAAATTGCATGGCAAAAGATAAACCCAGTTCAGATTTTACCCAGGAACAGAAACACACAGCCTATCCAGGTGCTCGGTTTTATCTTTGGAAGGACACAAAAGCTAGTTGCCAGGACTACCATTTGTTAAATGATGGTGTCTTCATTCCCTACTCACACCTCCTGGGTTGCATAGGGCTCTCCAAGGAAGTTGGGCCTTGGGAATCTATACTACCTCCCTTTCTCTCTGAAGCACTTTGCTCAGCAAGATGGGATGAACAGATCCTCATCCTTCTGAAGTTAGCATGAGGTACACTAATGCCTTCACTCTGGATAGGATTTTTATAAAAATATGGCAAGTGGATCCTTCAAGGGTTCAGAAGAGTGAGAACTGGGAAACCTGCTTTGCTAGTTTCCTTTGGAAGGCTGAGTCACCAATGACAACATTTACATGGCTATGATAACAATAAAAATGAACTCACATTGCTGTTCACTTTGTAAGCCTGCTTGGCAGCCTTAATGTGAACTGAATCTGGTACCACGTTGCAGTGAGATTTGTTCTGTTGATAGAGTTCTTTGTATTTCAGCTGTTGGAAAAGCAGAAGATGAATGCTTTACCTCCATATAGAAAAAGAGAACAGAAACCATCCCCAAAGCTGTATATTTCTGCTAGGCTGGATTACATAATCTAAATCTAAAACACAGCAATAAATAGCCTTACACATGAAGGGCATTTAATTGGAAGGATACAATTAAAAAAAAAAAATTTACTTACTTCACTTATTCTGTCCATGACCTTCCGTACATGGAGTATCATGGGAGTATCATGAATAGAGGTATATCCCTTTGGTATGGCCTTTTTGTATTCCAGTTTATAAAGAATCTAACATTAAAAAATTTAAGTTAGCATATTTAATCATCATATATATTTGAAAAACACTTCTATTAGAAAGTCACACCCAGAATATCTAACCCATCTTCATTCCCTAGTCATCTCCTATTGGATGCTCATTGATGTGCTGAACATCAATGTGACTAGGTTGGAAAATGCAACTGTCCAGTCCAGTCCAAAGCATGAAGAGAAACAAGTGGCATGTCCACCATTCTCATCCAGAGCTGTCAGAATAGAACATCCCAAATGTTGCATCTATAATCATACCAAAATTAAAATTGGCATGTTTGATCTCCTATATTTGAGTAAGCAGCCAATGAAATAATCATCTGCATGCACAGAACGTATGTATGTCAAAATGAAGAAGGTGGGTGATGGTATGCCAACTGAACAGCCTATACAGTATCTTCGCTATCAGACATAAATGATTCCAGCTGATGGCACTATCTTAATTATCCCACCTAGAGTCTTCTTGAGGGCATCTGTATGGGAAATTGCCTATACTTTCAGCTCAGGTATGCAGAACAACAACAACAAAAGCATGACATTTTATTTAGCTTTTGGCATCACATTTTGTATCCTGTGGATACAGATGTGGGTCTGTTACCTGTGACCAGTCAGTGAAAATTGTATCCTTGATGATATAGTTTAACATTTGGTGTTTTTGACTAGTGTGTTTGAGCTCAAATCCATTCATAATTATGAAGCTTACTCTCTGGTCACTATTTCTCAGTCTGAGAGGTTTGTTATGAAACAAAACTGAGGGGAAGCCAAGAACTCAAGAAACATTGAGCTTCTTGAAGAAAGGGTCAGACTTGTGACCCATATCTTCTCCAGAACACCCCCCCCCCAAATCACTGAATTAAACTTATCATTTAATTTGAGAATTTTAAGTTAGAGAATCACCACTGATTCATTTCCTATCCCTCCCATTACTTGCCAGGGGCATGGGGGGCAGCTCAGAACTGGCAGGATGGATTTCTTTTGTTGAAATCTCCTACACATTCAGTCCTAAGAACCCTGCCTATCCTCTAACACTGCCACACAGAAATGAAGCTAGGAAGACACGTAGGATGTTGCTCTATACATATGTACATGGGAGTAAGTCCCATTGAACTTAATGGGGCTTACTTCTGGATAGTCATGTATAGAATTGCACTGTGAATGCCATTTCCTAAAACAGTATCTACAAAAAATAGTTGCTTAACACCACTTGTTTCAAATCTCAGCACTTACATCACTGATTAGCTTGTTGACTTTGGTAGTCCTCAGATGTTCTGGAGTATCCACAATAGTTGTATATTTGTCCTTCTGCTTTTCATACAGCCTTTTGTACTTGTACTGTTGAAAGAAAAACAAGTAACAGTGATATGGAATGGCAGTAACAAAAACACCACCAATACACCTTTTCAGAAGAGAGCTAGAATTAGCCTGCCTGCTATCAACAGCTGCATAGAAGTCAACTGAAACTGTCTATGGGGGAGCCAAGCCCACACAACGGAAATGTCAGTTGGGTTGCTTTTGGTTATGCTGAGTTCGAAGGAAGCCAATGAGATGCAGGAGTAAAATAAACTGCAGAGCATACATTCAGCCACCTCTCAGCCATGTAACTTTGGAGTGGCTACTGTGAATCATCACCTCTAACCCTCCCACCAGCTTGATATGGGAATGGATCTGAGATAATCCCATATATCCTCGGGACAGGATGTGAACATGATAGATAAAAGGAGTAAATTAGCAGGATTTGATCCAAGCAGATAAAAACATTGGTTGTGCTTGAAATCAAAGGATCTCTTAGAAAGAATAAGCAGAGCAGGTAAGTAGCATCTTTTAGAATGTAAATAACATATTTTAGATTTATTAAGTATCTATTTATTCATTTTATAGTGTTTCCTTTCTGTTGTAATCCATACAGACTCTGGTCAGTGCACAAGAGTAGAATGAACTCAGGATCACTGAATCCATAAAGCCAACAAAAATTAGGGGTGGTTGGCCCATCTTACAACTGCATATTAAGTAAAAAATGCTGGTATCGAACTTCCTGAATTAATTTTTACTTTTGATTATTATATTAATATGTCATAAAACTGTTTAGACTAATTGTAAATCCAAACAATATTTTGAAATTATAGCAGAAGGGAAAATACTGAGACTATTAATTGTACTGACATTTTAAAAATATATAAAATGCATTACTTATTTGGAACAATGGGTACAGATGTTATTATTAATCTTTATAAATTATTCTATTCAGCTGAAAATCTTTGGGGGACCAGTTTTACAAAGAATCTCAGCATCTTCAAAGTGGTGTAAAGACAAGATAGAAATTGTAACCAGTTTTGCTTGTTTCTCATGCATTACAATAAATAGAAAGACAACAAAGGGCATGCATAAAGACAAGAATAAATGCATGCACAATGAATGGCACACATACAAAATAACAACAGTATATACTAAGAGAAAGCTAGCTTATCAATGCCATAAATAAGGCATTTGTGTAGGCTAGATGCAGGGAAACTGAATTTAATTTTGAAATTAATTAACATTCCAAATCTAAAACTATGTGTAAATAAACCCTATTAATTTTAGGGGAAGTAAATACAGTTATTTAAGTAATTAACCAATACAGTTTGGCATCATAACAATTACTGCTTGGATCGTCAAGCACTCGGCTGCAGCTATTCCAGTTGATACTTGTTTGCAGAATGAAGGTGATGTTTTTAGTAGAAGAGGTGAACACTGACTGTCAAGTGCACAAAAGGGAAACTATGCTGGCCAGATGTTTCCTTCCCAACATTTAACAAAAATTGAGAAGGCTTTCCAAATAAAGAACAATAATTTCTGGGGCTAGTCTCTTCCCCAGAAGAATAAGAAATGTGATAGTTGGTACAAGGCAAGTTGTCCTGATGAAGGTAAAAGCCAGGAAAACAAGAACAAATTGCATTTATTGGTATCTGTAGTAAATGAATTAATTTATCTAATATAGCATATAATTTAGCTACTTTAGGGGGCAAAATGTCCATCATGATGATGTGCATGGAAGACGAGATAGAAAAAAACTTGGATCCTACTCATCCTATTCATACTTGTATCTGCTGCAGAGGGGTGCAGATTTGGCATGTGTGCAGAGAGGGAGACACTTCTCCCCTTCCTAATATTTTTGCTGGTTGTAGAGAATGTGCTCTAATCCATAGCAAATAATGGCAAGATTCAAAATCAAGCCCATTCCTTTCTAAAGGGTCTCCATTAATGCTTATTGGACAAAGCTTCTCTTTCTTCAATCAGTCCACCAATTTCTATAGTGTGTGTTGTCAAGAGATTTAATGTCTACAAAGGGCTATGATATATGTACATTTTTAATTATATCTTTTAGCATTCACTAACATCAACACCATCAATCTACTATAATGCTACTACTGCTACCACTACTACTACATCATCAACAACTACTACTACAATACATTACCTGGCTCGACTGATGTGTGTTGTACAATGCTGTCAGCATATCTGGTCGCAGAATTTCATTACATCCATGTTGCAGGAACAACTTGGCACTAGACTTATATTTATTCTGTCCATGCAAACAGCAATGAAGCACAAGAAAGACTTGTGAAGACAACAAAAATAGCTCTAGATCCCAGATAGTGAGATTTAGGCCTTTGGAATACTCATGTATTCTCAAAATCACACCAATGAACAGTATTCACTAGAGGCAACATAAATAATGTCATAACCAAATTAGAAAAACTGGACATTATCTTGCCATCATCACACACAGTGCTGCCCTTTTAACAATAGGGACATAAGAGTGACTCAGACCTAATTTTTTTTTTCCAAATCTGAATTGAAATGGAGTACAGAAATCATCACTGTCCATTGGAACATAACTTATGAGAACACAGAGTATGGACAGGCTCACTCAAAAAGCCGCTGAGCAATTTTGGGTGGCAAAGTACAGATAGTTTTCAGTACATAAAAGACATAACATTTGGAATATCCTAGATCAAACCTATAACATCACGGACTAGAGACATTTCAGACGTATGAGAATGGACATCCACAAATGACACCAGCCACATTCCGAATATCCTGGCCAACAGGATCACAGTACCTGACTGCTTAATTCGCCTCCCCATTTGGCCAGCAAGGTTTTAGGGTCATCCACCACAAAGGAATACTTATCCTTCTTCTTCTCATACTCAGATTTGTACAACTTCTGCTCAAAGCAGCATCAGAAAGTAATATATGGAGAGGTACAAAGACATTTTAACACCAATCTTCAACTAAACAAAACTCTTCTAGTTACTCATTAAATTCATTCACCCATTAAAAAAATAGAGAAGACCCCTATCCCCCCAGAAAACAGTTATACATATATTTAAAAGAAAACATAACCTTATAAACTTAACAGAACAGTCCTAGGCCACTTAACTCAGAAAGAAGCCTGAATAATGGCTTACTTCCAGGTCCAGTAAAAATAGGATGTCAGTCTTAAAGGTACAAAATCAAAACATCAAACTAGGCAGCCTGTCTTTTAACTCTCCGAGTTAATCAAAATTCTAAGTTCAACTGCATTATGACAAATGCAGTTAGTATTTATGTGGGTTTCAGAATATATAAACACTTACAATGTAGATTCAAATTAAGAGTCTGGACTTAACTCATTATGGAGACATAGCAAAATATAGAACATATTTAACTAAGAAAAAGTTTGGCATCCTACAAAATCATTTAACTTCATGAGACTGACCTTGGTGCTACATTGAGGCTAATATACTTACTTCACTGCTACAAATGTAAGAAAGTTAGCTTGATTTATATTTGAAGGAAAGTTCAGCAGAAAGAAAGTGGCTCTAAAACACAGATGTATCTTGGGGGGGGAGGGGAATACTCATTTTTCATATTAAACACACATTATTATAGGAGCTTATAGGATGATTTTCTACTCCTTATATGCTTAATTTTTTTTCTTGATTAATTCATACATTATTTCATATCAGACATGGAGAAAATCTACCTTGTGATGGATATCCACATCTTCATAGTGACTTCTTAGGGAGATCCTACTACTGCTCCCAAATTTCTTAACCCACCTCCTTCCTCCCACTCACCCAATTCTCTTTATGCTGTATCTTAATTTAAATTAGTTAACGTTCTATGATAAGATTTACTTACAAGATGAAATAGGGCACTACAGCAAAAGGAATCTCAAGCTTTATTCATATCAAATCTAGTATGAGGACCAGGACTTCTTTAAAGAAAATTCATTTTGAGTTTTTCACACACCTTCTTAACCCTACCTCTATGCATGCAATGCCAGCAATTCCAAAGACATAAAGAAAAAGAACCCTGAACACACTATTTCGCTGAAGCTCTCTAAACATGGCTTTATCCCTAAATGTTTTCAGAACTCTACTCCCTTCCACAAGATGTTTAATTAACTTCTAACCCAGTCAAATATCTTTATTGGTGGTTCTAGCAGCACAGAATTACTCTAACTGGACCAAAAATCACCATTTTGGAAATACAAAGTCCCTACACACTTTCTCCAGGAAATGCCCACTATCTCATTAGCCTTTGTATCAGGAAAGTACTGAGAAAGCTTTGTGGTATCTTCCCTTTGTCCAGGCAACTGGCGGTAGATGTGGTTTGGACACTGCTCCCAATCAGTGTTTAAGAGGTATATTCTGTGCTGCTAAATTTTGGGAGCAAGGTCTGTAATGAAGATGCTTGCCTGTTCAGCTGCTCTTTTTCTCCAACTTTGTTGGAGGACTAGGTAGCAAAATATATTAATTCTCTGGGCTTAGGTGTTTCTATTGACATGAAAGGCTGGCTGAAGATTGGAGCTGAACTCTGGGCATGACTAGGTCTGTTTTGGGTTATATTTAACCTCCTGAGGTTAGCCAACTCATTCAGTTATCTCCTTTTTGAAGTTTCTCAACCAACTAATCTCTCCCCATCTTTCCTGACCTAGTTAAGCATGTTGGGAGTACAAAACAATTGATTATGCCAAGGAAATTTTAATGGAATTATTGTGGGCAATTCCTGTATTACAAGAGTCTGTTAATCTACTTACCGCATTCATCAACTGAGTGGCATATTTAACATGCCTGTTAATTGGAGAGTCAGCAACATAATTGAACTTGGATTTTATCTTTTCAAATGTTTCCTTGTACTTATACTATTGAAAACAAATATACAACAGTTATAAGGATATGATCAAAAGAATCAGAAGTCAATATCAAACACTGATCAAATGTAAAGATGTGAAATACTGCAGTTCTTTCACAATTACTAATGGAAGTGAGCTGTCAGTAAATGATTCATTGAATGTTTTCAACATGGAGACCTGTTGGTCTGCTGCACCCAAAGAAACAGAACTGGGTGGCACATTTTTATTTACATATTTATCAGATTTATAGCCCCCCTGATTCTATCACAATTCTGGGTAGCTTACAGAACACTTATATTTATTCATTAGATTGATACCCCATCCTTCCTCCAGGAATTCAAGGTATTGTACTTTATTCTTTTTTCCTTCAATTTTCTCTCACAACAAAAGTCTTGTGAGATATATCTAGCCCAAAGTCACCCAGTGAGCTTCTGTGGTTGAGGATGGATCGGAACATGGGTCTCTCCAGTCAAAGTCCAACATTTTAACCATCTTACTATGTTAAATGCAATAGATTATGAATCTTGATTTATTTATCCAACTGACTCAACTGGCATGATGGCAAAACCTGAATATGATACAGTGTTATAGAAACTGGTAAAAGTTCATGCTGATAAAGAATCCATAATGTAAACCTGTGCAGGTTTACTTAGAAAAAAATTTAATAAACTGATTTCTAAACACCGTATCAAAGCTTTTTCCCTTTGTGTATGCAGAATCCTACCACTATGAAACTAAATCAGTTCTTCACAAAGAAACACCTCTCTCAACTCTGAACAGGAATAAATAATGCACATACTGGACTATACAGAGCCTTATTCTTTTCTGCGAGGACAAAATCAGGAGTATCCCATGCGTAGCAGCCAATGCCTCTGAGCCATGTTAAATCTTCCTTATATTTAACCTGCAAAAGCAAAATAGTAACAGCAAAGTTAACTTCATGAAATAATGTCAGAAGTTACAAGAAGTGTTGTTTTTGATACACCGTAAACCCTCAGTTTAACAAACCAGTCTCTGTTTAGCAGTCTTCAGATACAACAGGTACATTTTTCATTTGGACACTACCTACATTTAACATTCAAGGTCTGTTGTGTCTGAAGAAGCCCAGGTATCATTTGAATCAATTTACATTATTTCTGTAATTATGTAAACTGAAGCAAATGACATAAATTCAGATGTAATGGTCATTTGGATTTAACATACTCACTGTCCCCCAAGTGATCTTAAATCACATTAAATCACAAGAGCACAAAGACTTGTTTTTTAAGACCATGATTCTAAGAATACTTTTTGAAGCTAAAACCATTACTGTCTATAAAATAAAATAAATTCCATCTTTGGTTTGAGTTATTGAATAGGTACTTCCAGTCCACAAACTCTTATTAAGCTCAGTTGGATTTATCATTGCATTAATGACTGCAGTGAAACAAGATGAAACCGCTAGTAAGTACTGTTTCTCATTCATTAATTCTGAATATGGGCATTCCTGACATAGCAGCCACAACAGAATACTGTAGTGAACATCTGAGATGCTAATTTGTTTCTTTTGCAGTTGCTTTCACTTTTCTTCTCCTGTAATGTCTCCAAAAGAGCTACCCCTAAAGCTCCAGATGGAAAAAAAAAAAAGTTCAGTAGAAATTAGGGTTCCTCTTTGTCCAAATGGAACAGTTTCTGATTCAGCAAAGCACCTCTAGATCCCATACCCATCTTTATATATTTATTTATTTCAATTTAGAGGCCACCCAATTCCAGATGGCTGGCTTACATTAAAAAATGAGAACAATAAAAGAATCAGATCATAAGGGTCTAGAAGACAAACTGAATAACAAAAATACATCATACAGGGGCTCGACCATTACTCTGCCCCAAACATAGGAAAATAGCCAAGTTTTCAATGACTTTCTGAATATCATCAGGGTGGGAAGCCATACATATCTCTGGGGGGATGCTGTTCCAGAGGGCAGATGTTACAATAGAGAAGGCACAATTCTTGGGTCCCAATAGATGATACTGTTTTATTGAAGGGACCTGAAACACACCTACTCTGCCTGATTTCACTAGCCAGACAGAAACAATCAGAGATGGGCTGTCCCTCAAACAGCTGGATCCTATTCCATGAAGGGCTTTATTGTCAGTCCTCCAAAGTTGACCAAACTTGGAAACCAAAGACATGCAAGCTAATACTACTATTATTCTAAGGTTATTGTAACAGAATCTTGCAAGTCTAAATGCGCTTCCCTCCCTTTATCTTCATGAGAACTAGGGAGGGTCATGTCTGAGGTGTTCTTAAATTGCACTTCTGCCCTGGACTCAGATTTCTTTTATCTGAACACTGTATTGGTTGTGGCTCTTCCTCCTGTTCCTCAAGATTATTCCTTCTGTCCATTACATCTATTGGTGATAACCAGCATCTTGAACAGTACCCAGAGGCCAACAGATTATTAGTACACCTTACAAAACACTGGTGTCACATGGGCATAGTGTGGCATGCTCATCCTTGCCCATGCCACTGCATTCTGGACCAGCTGTAGCTTCCAAGTAGTCTTCAAGGGCAGCCCCTTGTAGATCACATTACAGTAGTTCATTTATGAGGTGACTAGGCCATGAGGGACTGTTTGAAGTCCCCCCCCCCCCATTCAGGAACAGCACAACTGGCACACTAGATGAATCTGTGTGAAAGCCCTCTTGGCAACTCTCTGAGCAGGAGCTGTGAGTCCAAGATATCCTCAGATGGAAAGTTCTTGAACTGGAGGGCCCAAATATCTACATTCACTCAAGATTTATAGGGTTATCAATGGACATTCTTGAGTTCACTTTGTAGGTGGTGTTATGATTTCTAAGCTCTCCAACATATCAGCAAAAATAGAAAATCATCCACTTTTGAATTGCATCATAAATTAATCACCCTAGATATCCTCAAGCCTATTGCACTGTAAAGCTTGTCCATGTGCAAGATGCAAGTGGTCAGCATAAACTAATACTCACACTACTAACTGCATCAGTGACTGCACGATGATGGTAGTGTTCTGGGCGGTCTGGGATAGATCTCCAAAATCCTAATTCACTCATGTATTTTTCTTTATACTTCACCTAGAAAAAAGAATTTGCAAGCAATGAATAAATAGTATTAAATTAATGACAAACACAATGCACTAACTATCAGAATTTATGTATGTTTCCTCACAAGAAAGCCCCACTAAATGCAACGGAACTTGCTCCCTAATAAACAGATTTTGAACTGCAACTGGTATGTCATTTTTAGGAGAACATATTGACATAACTGAGCTGCCTTATGTAGGCAACACAGACTAAGGAAAATATGCACTGAATGGAGGTGCCAGGATGTGGCACAAGTCTCTTCTGCTGCTTGAAATTCCTTTCTGCCAGCAAATCAGAAATAGAAGGTGAGGGAGGGGGCAAATGAAGCATTATGTAATACCAAATCCACACCCCAACCATACTGGGGGGATGTCTGCAATGCCATCACAAAATTAAGACAAGGGTAGACAGTGTTGCGTAACTTCCAATAGTCTAAATCTAATGGAAGCTCCAAAAACTCAAGTTCTGAGTTAAGGGAGCTTTTGATGCATTGATGCAGCTTCCCTAATTACAACTGAATTTGCCTGTGGTTGGGTAGGTGGGTGGGATGGGGGACAAGTGGACCCCTTTAAAGATAAGGCCCTGTAAAACAGATGATCTTGGGTTGAATGCACATTGAGAATGTTTTATAGTCAAGCAGAATTGCACATTTAGGAAGCCATATACGTACTTTGCTGACATCATCAGTGACCTTGCGGTGATAGACAATGTCTAAGGCATCCTTCACTGTATGGTATTTACCCTTTGCTCGCTCAAAGGTTTCTTTGTAGCGTAGCTGATTAAAAAAAAACAGAAAGGCATATGTTTCAAATGTATTTCAAATATATTTCTATATCACGAATACAATACTCGTAGTCCTGAACTATGTCTTCAGATGCTGGATGAGCCAGACATTATCTTCACTCGTTTTGTTCAGCTTTTACAAAGTCAAAAATAGGTACAAATCCTAACATAAGCATAATATTGCCAATTACATTCTGACAGCTTAACTTTCAGTGTATTTAATGTAGTTCTCTCTGCAAATGTAAATGTTCCTTCCCTTTCAATTTAATAATACTTTTGTTTATTTTTTGTTTGTTTGTTTAGTATCAATGGATAGATAGATGAATGTTCCACTATAAACCAAATTCTAGGATTCTAAGTAATCCTAGTTTCCTACAAACATTTCAAAGTCATCCCTGTTCATGTAAATATTGCTCCATCTGTTTGAATAATTTTTGTATTAATTTAATATTTGATTATGAAGAGCCACATAATAAGAATTCTGGTCATCTTCCAGTGTTTCTATAGAATATTGATTATCTCCAATTATCTTCCTATAACCTTATCTATAGTATGGAAACTATATATATGTATTATCTTTAAAAAGTCCCTTTTTTGTCATATACTTACATCACTGGCATTCAGGTAAGCCTTCTTAGCTCTGATGAGGATTGGTGTATCCGCGACTGTTACATATTTATCCTTCAGTTTATCATACAGTGCTCTGTATTTTTTCTAAAGGGGACAGAAAAAAGTATGATTAATATTGAGACTTGTGCTCTACATAGGCTACAGTATAAAAGGGGAAAGAGGACCTTGAGCATCCCAGATGAGCCTGGCCTGAAGGCTTACTCTTTACAAGAGCAACATGCTCATCTGTCACCAAGGCACCCCCAGCTGGTTGCAGCCTTTACCTCGCTGGCAAAGTCTTTCACATGCTTAGCAAGTTTTAAGGCAGGGGTCTGGTCTCCAGCATGGTGATGTGGTCTTTCCTTGGTGGCAAGTTCAACGTACAAGTACTGTAGAAGAATAGAAAGTTGTCACAGGTCAGATACGTTTCATGTATATCTAAAAAATAGACTCCTTGACTCTGTCTTCCAGTGAGTTTGGCATACTCGTACCATTAGTCTTTCTACTCTAAATGGCAGTACATAAAGGCACTTTTTAATCAGTGACTTCAGAGATCAAAGCTAGTGCTTTTTGCAGTGAGAAATGTGCTCTACAGCCAAGCAAAAACACCTAAAAAAAAATGATTGGAATATTTCTTACATTAAATATTCATGTATGTAGATATGTACACATATCATTCATTAATTAATTAAACGCATAAGGCCACCCATCTCTATAACTCCTCCAGGGAGCATACAATAAAAACAATAAGAAAACATGAATAGAAACCCCAAAGAAAAAGCACATGTATATATGTACATACCCACATATACAGAGGAAATTGCAGTACATTAAATCAGACCATAAGATCATCGGTTAATCCAGTTTGGGCATTGCCTGGTAGAGTTCTCTATGCCCCCTCATACAAGCTCCGTACAAGAAATACTAGGGATTGCCAAATATGTGGTATAAATGAGCCATGTTCCTTCTTCCAATGTAGTCATAGTATAGTAGTAACAAAAGCTAAAATGCCAAACCACCTGCACCCATATCAACTCAGCTCTGGCTACCAAAATTTAGCACAACCTTTAGCCTTAAGAATTTTTTCAAAAGGTTATCAAATGACGTGAAAGGCAAATGCCTTCCAGCTGGATGTGTGTTACCTTAAGCTGGTGATGCATTAATAAATATACTATTAAAACAGTACAGATATATTGCAATTATAATAACATAATAGACATATTAATACAGCACAGTTCAGAAATGTGAGAAAGGTACAGAAGATGATGGAGGAGGAGGAGGAGGAGGAGGAGGAGG